TTCCTGCCCCATTATGTCTCCAGTCTTAACAGCTGAGGCACTGGGGGTGGTGTAATGACCAGCTTTTAATGGGGACGATTCTAAGTAGTTCAAGCATATGGTATTTTTGCAGCTCTTCAGCACGGTCCCGTGTGCGTGCAGCGTGAGGAGTTGGATTATAACCGAGCCTCACGATGACTCTTCTGCGACCCTGTGGTGAGAGGCTGCAGGTGGGATTTTGCAGCTGGGGCCGGCCGCGCCAGCGAAGGTGCAGCCCTGCGCTGCTGGCGGCCGGTGCCGGGGAGGAGCGGTGGGACCTCCCACGGGGAAGCCACAGGCAGTGCCGGTGAGGTCTGTGACACCGGGCTGCTAAAATTTTGCTGCTTTTTCTGATTCTAATATCTGCAGAAGTTGTGGACGTGTGTGTGGGAGGCAGGGAGCTGTTAAATCAGTGCACCAGGATCGGCACCTCTCTTGTCAAAACTGGTACATTAAGCAGCTAGGTTCAACCTCATCCTTTAAATGGATCTCTGATGACTCCCAAGGGCTATTCCTATAAGAACAGGGAAAGCAAACACTTGCAGGATGACAAATAAGGGTTAAGCTGGATATAGACTGATTTCCGATGTAGGCTACTTATGCAGAGCCTGAGGTGCACAGCTCTATTATTTACTGAGACTGGTTTAGTTTGGAACGGTATGAAGAACATCAGATAAATCCTGATCCAGTAAACGTGTTTAGACCTGACAAGAAAACAAACGATGAGTCGGGAAGGAAAGTTCACTCTTGGCATGTCTAGCACATGAGGCGGTCAAAAAAAAAGAGCTGAAATCTGGAGCTCTAAGGGCAGTTCTCTAAACAAGTGGAGAGGTGAGTCTAAGATACCAGTCAGTCTGACAAGAAGTAACTCCTGAATTTTCTGCAAGCCCCCCTAAACCCGCTGCTGCGCAGGGTCTCCCTTGCCGGGAGTCGCTGGTGAGCGCAGCCCGGGGGCAGGGTGACTGGTGCCAGCCCGGCACGGGACCCACGGCGGCGGAGCCTGTGGGGCAGCAGCTGCCCATGCAGTCAGTTCCCCAGCCCCGATGGCTGTAACCTGCAGGTGACAAACCCAGTTCGTGTTAATGGGTGGCACAAAAAATAATTCGGCCCCAAAAAGCACTGTAAAGAGAGTCGTGGTTGCAGAGGGAAGGCCGCTGTCTGGGGACTGTATTCAGCAAACTGTAGGTAAGTGCCGTGGCAGGAGGATCAAGCTGTGTTTTGAAGGCGTTCTGGGAGAAAAACAGCTCGTCACAGCAAAAAGCCAAGCAATAGATGCATGACATTTAAAAAATGAGAACCAAACTATCTATATTTCTTTACTTTTTAATTGCTCTCTATTGACTAGTTCTGCACAGTACGGAGTGATTTTTCTCCTTGGAGATCTGGCTCTAAAAGCCTCTGCCGCGCGTGGGGAAGAGGAGCCGTGCCGCGGGGGCAGGCAGAGAAGGGTGCTGAAGTACGGCGAAACAGCAGTGACCGGGTCCGCGTTCCGGGCAGCCAGCTCTCGTACGAGGCGTGTGTAGCTGGCCGTCAGCCACTCCTCTAGCAGCAGGGCAAGAACTGTGCCGTTCTCCCGAAAGAGACCAACTTCCAACATAAATTTTCCGCTGGGGGGGTGAACTGGGAAAACAGCACCAATATGGTCCTCCTCTCCTCTCCTCCAGCGATGCCAGTGACCCTGGTGATACTGAGAAAGCGTGAGCCCATTTCTCCTTGTAAACCTGGCCTGATCGGTACCCACCACCCACCTGCTGTTTTCTCTGTTTGTAGGTAAACAGAAGTACCTCTGTGCCAGCCGGAACGACTGCACCATCGACAAATTCAGAAGGAAAAACTGCCCGTCCTGCCGCCTGCGGAAGTGCTACGAAGCTGGGATGACTCTCGGAGGTACTGTCCGAATCACGTCCCGGGTCCATGCGATGGGCTGGGGCGCCGGGCTAATCCTGCAGATAACGAGCGTGTTTGGCACATTAACAGTCAGTAAATGTCTGAAAAAATGAGGCTGATGGAGCATAATGAGCTTCGGGAAGCATTTGCAGGTTTCTAATACCAAAACTGTGAATTTCATTAAGCTTTTGTTTGAGTTTCAGGAAACATTCTTTTCCTTAATTTAAAACCTTGTTAATCTGAAAAAACGTAAGCGGCCAGGTTAGCTGGATTCTCACTCACACCAAAGCCTCTTTGAAGAGAGCGCTCCCATTTTAAGATGATTTTTCCCAGGCAGAAAGAGGCATTTTTCTTTACAAAATGACAGCCCTAGTATTTTTCTTTGCTGAATGGGAGTTGCTCCTGTATCACTGGGAAAGATCCTTGCTACAGTTTGTCTCTGTTCCAAAACCTGTAGCTCTACCAAAACCTGACAGAGTGCCCATACCCCAAATCTGACATTTTCTGCTCAGAATCTAGAAGCTAGAGCATAGATCACTGGGTGGCTCATCTTTGAGTTGATTTGATGTGGGAGCGAGGAAGATCATACCCTGAAAAATGGGGCCGACCCGCAATGAGGAGGCCCCTGACCGCGAAGCGCAGGGGAGTCACGAGTGATGCGAGAGCCCCTGGCAGCGTCGGGCACGGCGCAGAGGGACGTGGGGAGCCCTGGCTAGTGAGGTGTGCCAGCATTTCGGGTTAAATGCTTCCACCGTTGCTGGGATGGGCAGTGCCTCCCGGAGCTACTGGAACGCTGTCTTGAAGAACTGGCTACCGAAATGGTTCCGGCTTGTTGCTCATCGAGGAGCAGTGGTTTTAGTTTTATTTCTCCCCCTAACAGTTCTCACAGCTCGGGTTCCGACGAACACGCTCGGTCGGCAGGGCAGGAGCCAGCCTGCTCCCCTCTGCTTTGGCAGCGGCGGGTAGGAAATCTGAGCGCCGTGGGGACACAGCCCTTGGGCGGGGGTGATGCGGAGACGTGCAGCTGGCTCTTTTCCTCCTGGTAGCAAGCAGAAAAAACAAACGTGCCCAAAGGTACTGCAGTCCTAAAACCTCGTGAGGTCAACCCCGTGCACTGGCTCTGACCTTCACTTACCGCTCCCGCTCCGTCGCGGACGAGCTGTCGGCAAGCGGCAGGGTGCTGCTGGCGCAGCGCTTCGGGAGCGATGTGCGTGGGCGCACCATGGTTTCGGAGCACCGGGGAGGTGCCCACTCCACCTGATGCGACCACGACCAAGCAGGCTGTTTGCTTGCTGAAGTTGCCAGGCGGCTATCTCCATCTCAGTTCCCAGTATCTGCTTCACTGGTTCTGCCCCCAGCCCCAGTCACCCAGCCCGGCTGGGAGGGAGCGAGGGCAGAGGAGCCCGTCCCGGCGCCGTGCCTGCCCTCACGCCTTCTTGCAGGAGTGCCTGGTGACAGTCATTTTCCTGGCCGCTGGTGGCTGTTGTCGCTGTGGCTTCCCGGGAAGCAGGGCGACTCCTGGGACCCTTCCCTCTGCCTGGGAGGGCTGGGACCGGGCCGCCGCCGCCCTGCCCATGGGGTTGCTGGGCTCCTGAGCCAGGGGACGGGGACGAGGAGCCGAACCCAGCTCCCTGGTCCGCAGCCAGCAGAAGGGCTTCATAATGCCATCCAAAGCAAGCATGCTCTTATTTTTAAGTGCTTTTTTCCTGGTGAAATTTCCTTAAGTAAGAAAAGACATACATCAGTGTAACCTTCTTCTGCAGGACACACTGACAAAATTAATGCTAATACTGATAGCCCCCCCTTTTTCTTCCTTAAGCTCTTTGGGTCAGCCTGACCTGTTCTGCCTGGTCTGTTTTACATTTGTTTTGAGTGTCGGTTTAAACGCAGTTGTTTAAAACATGCGCTGTGAGTTTGTCCACAGTTATTTCTCCCACAGTAGAAAGGCAGAGCATTTGAAAACGCTTCCAAGCTCCAAACAGTTGTTTTTAACTGCCTGTTAATTACCAGTCACTTGTAGGGTATAATAGAGCCGCCAGTGACCTGCAGCGCTCGGTGTGTTTAATGGGAGGAGGAGGTGACACTGAATACCTTATTTAGGACTCTCTGCCTTGGCACAGAATGGCAGTATGCTGAAGCGCTTCATTATTGATTGAGATCACTCTGACCTGCAAGCTGAAATCCATTAAACAGAATCTTCTCTCCTGATCGACACTGTGAAGCTGAAGAGAAGGAAAAGAAAAAAAAAAAAAATGATAATGCTGGTTTTGTGTGCTCGGTTCTGCTGGAGCACTGTCCTGCCTCTTCCACAGCACCAGTTCCTACTGCGAGCGCAGGTGCCGGCACGGCTGCGCGGACCCCGCCAGCCCCTGTGCGTGGGAAGCGTGCCGCTGCGCACACGGCTGCCTGGATCCCCCCAGCCCCTGTGCACGGGAAGCGTGCCGCTGCGCACACGGCTGCCTGGATCCCCCCAGCCCCTGTGCACGGGAAGCGTGCCGCTGCGCACACGGCTGCCTGGATCCCCCCAGCCCCTGTGCACGGGAAGCGTGCCGCTGCGCACACGGCTGCCTGGATCCCCCCAGCCCCTGTGCACGGGAAGCGTGCCGCTGCGCACACGGCTGCCTGGATCCCCCCAGCCCCTGTGCACGGGAAGCGTGCCGCTGTGCACACGTGCTGCGCACACGGCTGCGTGGATCCCGCCAACCCTGGGACCCCTCTGTCCTGCTCCGGTCTGCACCCTGCACGTCACTCAGGCAGTGCAACTGCTGCTGAACTGCAGAGCTCTGGATTTAAGGCACCTCCTGTTGGTTCGCTGCCAGCGCATTGAACCTTCGCGTGCGAGGTCCCGTAGGCTGTTCCCCTTGTGAGAGCCAAGCGCCTTGGCCGGAGCCGGCAGCCCGCCTGTGCTGCGGGACATCTGCCGTGCGCCGTCAGCCTGGCGACTGCGCTCCGTGTGGGTCCTGTCTTGGGGCAAAACCACCCAAACGTGTAAAATACAGTTCATTTCATTGATGGCAGGGCTAGAAAACTACTGTAGTAACTGCTGATAGCCTGTAAAGGCCTAAGGCACGAGGCATACCTGTATTTAGTCCTAATTCAGGTCCAGTTACTGTGGTTAAGGTAGGACTCATGTCTTATAAAACATTTGACATCAATGTAAGCATTTCCAGCAGTGGAGAATCTAACACGTTTTTGCCACACGGTTGCAGTAGTTAATTACGTTCAGTGTTGTGACAGATGTACCTTATTTTTCGTCTTGTCTGTCCTTGATTTCCAGCAACTGGATCTTTATTATGTCTTTGCTTGCTAGATTGAAAAAACTACTTTTATTGAATTTCTGTCCCTGCCGTGGGTATTTGTTGGCTGTGACTTAACAACGCTTTAGCCTTCTGAATAGCCGCCTAGGTAAAATTCTTTACTTCCTTTCTGCAAGGCGCGTTGCCTAGCCTTCGCTGTTCGTACTTCTGCAGTTTGCGAACACCTCCCTCGTACAGGGAACGTTAATCGCAGTTTCCCGGTGTCAGCAGCATCCGTGCTTAAAGGGGGTGTGCGATGCTCTCCGGGCCGGTGTTTCCTCCCTGGCACGGCGTGGGATCCTGTTAGTCCCATGTGCGCTGGGCCGTGCTGCCAGCTCAGGCTGCTGTTTGTCCATCGGCGTTTGGTGCGAGTTTGGGCTGCCGAGGGTGGAGTTTGACCTGCCTTGAATACGGCTCGCTTTTTCAGTTGCTCGATCTATCTGCTTGCAGCGCAGCGTACCTTGCTGTAACGCACCGACCTCGTCAGCGGACCTTAATCGGCCTGTTCAGTTGTCAGTCCTTGGCGCTCGTGAGTTTTCCCGTCTTTGCGTTGTCATACAGACTTTAGCAGAAATGGTTAATTTTCTTTTTGGAATGAATGTCGACGTTCGCAGTGAACGATCGTCATAAGAAACGAACCTGTTTGATGTTGTTTCAACATTTATAATTACTTTTGAGATGTGTCACCTGGGTGCTGCCCCGTCGTACCGTCTGATTTCCCGTCATTCGAGTTTTTTAATTCACGTGGGCCAGAGTGACTCAGATCTCTTAAACATGTCTTCTATACCAGTACTGTTATAATTATCAACTAAAATTATCCTGCCAGAAAAGATTGATAGCTTGACAGGATCTGGTTTTGACAAGCCGCATGTTGATGTTAATAAAAAATGAAAAGCACGGGATGTAAGTCAAGCCCTGTTTCAGCTTCTCCGTCATTCTGCCCGCAGCTGAAATTAGCGTGCGGTGCCTGGGGCCAGCTGGATTTCTGTGTCATTGCTGGTGCAAAAGCAGTTTTCTTCCAGGTCCCCAGAACTCCCCTGAGTCCCAGCACCCATGACAAGTCCGTGCTGGAGCCCAGAGCGCTCTGTCACCAGCTTCAGAAGTGCCTGGCGGGAGGGCGGGCAGGTTAAGCTGCTTAAAAGGTGTGTCGCTTCGGTAATCGCTCTGTACTGTGCTCCCTAGGGATTCTTGCACTGGTGAATATTTTATCGCGATACCATGCAATTGTGTCCTCTAAGCTTTTTTTCCAAATACGCGCGAGATTTTCTCCGTGAGCCGCGGGAATGGCAGACGGCTGCGGGCGTGACGCCAGGGCGGTGCCGTGCCAGCAGCGGCTTTTCCAGCCTTCCCGAGCCTTGTCCCCGCAAACAGCCGAGCCGGTGTCACACGTGCTGGGGTTCGTCCCACCTTGGTTTGGAGAAGTACAGTGTCGACTTCTGCCTAGCTTAGCTCATCCCAGAATAAAAGTATAACAGATGTCTTCAATTTCTATTTTTCTATTTCTGTTCTTGTTCCCAGTAGCTGCGAAGTAGGAGCTACCTCCAAAAAGGGCTTTTGCACAGAGGACTGAATATAAGCTGCTCTTTACCTCTGAAGCTTTTCTCCATCTAGTAACGTCAGTCTTTCAGTGATCTGTGGGACAGCCGCTCCTGGAAAGCGCAGACGTGGGGCTCCTCTGGTAGGAGCAGTTGTCATCCACCGTCGCTGTGCTCCGGCACGGAGGGGTTTGGTTTACGGCTGCAGTCTCAGGGCCAGCGGGGTTGGTTGCTTGCTCTCTTCTTACTTCACTCGGTATCTTTTAGTACTAGATAATTCAATTTTAAGAAAAAAAATTTAACATTTAAATGAAACCATGTGTGTGTTTTATAACAGTGTGGGTTTGGCTCCAGTTACGCACAGGACCTGATGGGCACTGATTATTCGTCTTTGGAAGATACAGTTCGGTTTTCATTTCTTCTTTTAAGCCTGGGAGCTTGTCTCCCCTAGCTCGCGTGTCTCTAAAGGTCCAGGGCCAAGCACAACCACGATGCATGGTTTCTGCCTCAGGTGGTGTCAGACCTGGTGCCTCCTTCCCGAGTTAAGGTGAGGTTGTTTGGAAGCAAGGGCTCGGCGTTCTGCGCTCCGCTCCTTCCGTGCTGCTTGTCGACAGCAAAACCCGAGCGCGGCTTCCAGGAGAGCGGTGCCGTACCTGTCCCGGGGGATCGGCTCGCCGGGGTTAGGGAGGAGAGCGTCGGGAGCCTGCCAGATCCCGCTGCTGCCTGTGCTGCCTGCGGCTCCCGGAGGGGTGGGAGAGGGGAGGCTGGCTGGCCTGCGCCCGAGCCGGCGATGGCTGAAGCATCTCACGCTGCACACCAGCCCTCTTTTCCTGTTGCTCTCTCTTGTTTTTATTACTCTTTTTTCCCTCCTTTTTTGCAGAGCAGCCGGTCCTAATTGCTCTTACAGTAGATCATCCAAAGTACATTAGTTAAAGATCAACATTTCGAATTGATTTACAAAGCTGCACTTTAACTTGACATTTTTATGTTTCACTGCTTATTTTTCTAATTACAGCTGAAAGGAAATTTGAGATAAGTATCATATAACGAAGGAGCCAAAGCCCCAAGGACGATTGGTTTGATGTTATGTTCTCTGCTTGAATTAAGTGATTTGCTTTTTTTTCTAAGTAGTTAGGGGTTTTGGAGTCGGTAAGAAGTGAAAGCTCTTCCTATCTGCAGTAGCCTGCTAACCCGTTTTGTGCTGAACACTGCCATGTAGGTATCAAATTAGATGAATACTGACTCCAGCAATTCTGAAGTCGCAGGTCTGAAGCTCCTGCTGTCTCTTGCTAGCAGGCTGGCGTCTCTAATTAAGAGCTGGGTGCACAGGAGAGGCACTTTGTCATGGGGAGATGGGCACGGCTGTGGGCTGCCTGCAGTCCCAGCCCCACGAGCCCGCGCCGCCGACGTTCCTCTTGGAGCTGGCCGGCAGACCAAGGCCACCCCTGCTCCAGCCTTCTCCTCGTTGGTGGGCTAGCGGGGGAGACTCCAGGGAAGCAGCTGTGGGACCACCTGCTAGCTTTTAAAATGTATTTTCCATAAGATATTTGTAGAGCAGTGACCTGGCTGGGAGAGCTCGGCTGTAGGGCAGAAGGGGCTGCAGGAGCCCCGGGCAGGGAGCGGGCTTTTCACTCGGCTGCAGCCCGCTTCCACTCTGGCCTGGGGTGGAACAATCCCACTTGAGCATCCGAGCGCAATGGCTTTTTTTCCTGGAACGTGTCCATCTACTGAGTTTGTTTGCTTGCGTTGCTTCCCTTCTTAATTGCATGTGAGTAGTTGTTTGAATCGAGTCACCTCTTCCCTTTTTTCCCCAGTTCTTCCCCTCCATTTCTAAGTGGGAGTTAATGTGAGACTGGTCACAGCTGAGGATGGAAATGGTGCTTGTTCTCTTCCGTATAAGATTAATGAGCAAATGGAGTTCCTCGTGCAGCGCGCGCTCCCTTTTGTCCTTAGGTGAGGTCTGCAATGCCGAGGCTCTCTTTGGGCGGCGGGTGCTGAAGGAGTAGCTGCTGCTGGCCATCAGTTTCCCTTTCCTCGTAAATACAAGTGATGGAGCTGGAGGCCAGGGAGCTTCAGGCTTTTTGTTATTTTTAAGCATCACGCTAAAATGTGTCATTTCCGCAGCCCGCAAGCTGAAGAAGCTGGGTAACCTGAAGACACCAGATGAGGCGGAGGCAGCCAGCTCATCCAGCCCCACAGAGGAGCAAGCTCCCAAGATGGTGATGACGCGCATTGATGGGTATGAGTGCCAGCCCATCTTCCTCAACGTCCTGGAGGCCATTGAGCCTGGCGTGGTGTGTGCCGGCCACGACAACAGCCAGCCGGACTCCTTCTCCAACCTGCTGACCAGCCTGAACGAGCTCGGGGAGAGGCAGCTGGTCTATGTGGTCAAATGGGCAAAGGCCTTGCCAGGTGAGGAGGAAAGCTACCAAATCCCGTCCCTTCCCTGGCACGTTCCTAACGCCCCCGCTTGCGTCGCCTGGGGTGGGTTTCGAAGGAGGTGGTCTGCAGCCTGTGTCCCGCCATCACGCAGCGCCTTCGGGGAGCGTCTTCACAAGGTGCCTGGCTGTGTAGCAGCCCCGTAAAGCAGGCTGCGGCAGCAGCGGGCTTGTCTCCTTTGGGTGGCTGGTTGATGGGAGAGGTGACGAGGGGGTGACAAAGTATGTGGAAACATGTGCTTTTGGGTCTGTCCCTGCCGATAACCCCGGGCACGCAGTATTGTGTGGGCACCTGCCCGCTTCCCCGCCTGGGGAGGGCCGCTGCTGGCCAGGGGCTCAGGGTTTGCTCTCTTCCCGCTCTCCCTGTGGGGGTTTCGCTCCCCTTCCAGGGCTGCGTCCACCAGACCTGCAGAAGTCATCTCTAAACAAGTGTTAGCCCCATCCCATAGCCTGCGTGAAGTGGTGAGAAGGGTAAATTTCCCAGGTGAATCAGAAGTGTGCCACTTCATGATGTGAAAGCGAGATGGGGGAAACTGGGCTGAAAGTACCTGAGGCTTGAGAGACGGGAGACGTCCTTCCTTGCTATTTTTGTATTTCACAAGCCAATTAATTGTAAAATAGCAAGAGAAAGACACAAAATCCCAAAGGGCTTCATCCTGGCAGTCAGGTTGCTCTTCTCTGACAGGCTGCTGGAACATGTTTGTGGTGCATTCGGAGTCGTGATACGGGAGTACATTAGGGCTGGGAAGTTTCCAAATGGTAGTAGTTACCAGGTGCTGTACATGAAAACGTCCCGGTGATGTATGGGCTTCATTGAATGCACTCCTCGGTTCCGAGCACAGAGGCCACCAGCCTGTAACACGCTGCCCATCGTAATCCTGCCAGCTGAACGGGTGAAATTACAGAAGACTGAGGTCACCCTGGGTGCGGCAGGATCCTGTTCACCTTCCAGTGTACCTGGGACTGGGGCGTGGGGACGATACCGGGCTGCCGCCCTCACCCTGGCCCTGTTCCTCGGGAAATGCCACAGAAAACAGGGATCCTGCTCTTGATGTGCGGGTGGTACGACCACAGGAGGAAACTGAGGCAGGATAAGTTTGCCACTATATGCCAAAACGTGGTGATGAACTGCCGTCAGACGTTTGATGTTGCCAGAAATTCAGCAGTCCCCCTGGAAGTAGCTTGCCCGTGGTCCAGGAGGGGCGTTAGTCTGAACATGCTTGAGTGCAGAATAGCCCATGCTATTTCTTATATTCTTGAGCCAGAAAGGTTCACCTAGCTTGTGAAACCAGGGACAAATCATGCTTTCTCTTCCAGCTTATCTACATCAGACATCAATATGTCTTCGGAAAAGTACACGGAGACACCACTAAACCGGACCGGCAATCCGGGGGCTGAGGTTGTAAAACTGCGGTAGCGCTAATGGAAAGGGAGAGTGCTTTGAAGAACATTTCTCATCGTAACCACCCCCTTATCAAAGGCTTTTACGCTCCTGCACTGCACCTGATCTCCGACCCCGTGGTGCGTGGCCGCGCGGCAGTGCCAGCTGCTGCACCGCTGCCTCCCGGGGCCGGCGCCCGCTCTGCCACTGACGGCCCCTGGGCAGAATTAGTTCTCATCTTCTTGTGTCTGAGCAGTCAGCTCTCTCTGGGCGCTTACAGCATAACTGGAGGGGATTGCCTATGGAGGCCAGCTGTCCTGCATGGGCGCGCTGTGGTGGGATGCTTCCTGGCTGCCCTCCCCCCCCCGCCGGCCGCGGAGCTGGCGTTGGCCTGGCCATTAGCATCGCTGTGCCCGCAGTGAGAGGCAGGTTGTTATCCCCAGCTTTCTCTCAGCAGTTCCCTGACATGTGCCAGTGCCGGGGGTCAGCAGTAATAACCACAATTTTGCCACTTAGTCGTTCTCCTGATATTTTCGAGGGAAGGAATAAACAACCACGGCACTGTTGTGGTGGCGGTGCTCCAGGCGGAGGTTACGCAGCCCCTTCGCTCCAGCAGCAGCCCAGCCGCCGCCGCCGGGTGGGTTCTCTCCC